AGATATATATCCTGCGAATAATCGCAGACCAGAAAAACCTAGTATTTATTGTATACTACTCCCTCCGGTTTTTATTATGGGGGAGGATTTTTACAACCACAAGTTTTAGTTCTTTCAACCACAAATTTTCAATTTTAACCATTTTGTCCCTACTATTTGATCAAACCAAATTGAAGGAGAGAGAGATGGAGAGGGGGAGAGAGAGAAAATAAGCCACTTGGACCAAACCGGGCAAGTCATCTAGTCCGATTGGTGATAATAAATGTATCTTAAATAATAAATTATTCATAAATTTAATTAATAAAGATTTTAATGACCTAAAAATTAGATTAACTAATAAAAAAAATAAAATTTTTTACATGTAATAGCAATGAATCCGATTGATTTTTTTTTAATTCTTAGACTTTTTTAAATAACAAATATTACTATTTTTTTAATTACAAAAAAAAAATTCTAAAAATTAAAAAAAATAGCAATGAATTCGATTTTTTTTTTAGTTACAAAAAAAATTACAAAAAAAAAACAAAAAATATAAAAATTAAAAAAAAGGGCCTGACCGAACCAGTTCACCATATCGTATCGAACCGCGACTGGTCGGGCAATGAAACCATCCCGAGTTTCCACCCGTCCCGAGTTATTCATCTTTTGACATGAGTTATTCATTCCATAGATATGTGCATTCATGCTACAAAGATATATCATTCATCTCAGTGATGTAGTTATTCATCATGTATATGTGTCTGTACACGATAATTACTAACTGGATTAAGTTTATGTAGTTTTAATATTTATTCATATTTAATAACATTTTATTTGTCATGTACTTTATCATAACTAGATTAAATTTATGTACTTTGTAGATATTTGGTGTGAATTATGTTGCGAACTAGTGCCTAACCTAATGTTAAGTGGATTGGTTTTATAGTTATTCATCATTTAAAGTATTATCAATTAATCAATATTTTCTCAAAATAGGTTTTTGATTAAATGCAAAATCTAACTTATGATAATATTCTCTTTGTTTGGTAAGGAAATATTTATCTAAATGAACTCGATCGGACAAGAATTAAATATTTGGCAGAGTTGCAGAAATCAACAATCAATATAAAAGTATCGAGCATCGACAAATCCCTCAAGACTTTATATGTAGACAAACAATTACTAGTGTTTTGTTCAATTTTGGAATACTATAATACACAATTAAAAATTTGTTAGTTTGGTTCCTAACATCAACTCATTGTAAAATATACTATTGTTATTTTTCTTGATTAAAGTTATTCATTCTGTTGTGTGTTATTCATCCACTATAACAATATGTTATTCAGTCAATAAACTACATCTATTCTTCGTTTTAGTATTGTTACTCATTAGGATAGGATTATTGATTTGTGTATGGATCGTTAATTATTGAAAAATCTTAACTTAAACATACACCATCTATGTATTGTTATTCATTCAAACAAATTCTGAAATTCATCCTTAAAACAAACATTATTAATCTGAGACAGTACTGTTATTCATCTATAATAGTATATTTATTTATTTAGAAAAGCAGTGTTATTCACGTGTAAGATTTGCATCGTTATTTATCGGTGTGAATATCATGAACTAATTTTCTATGATAGTGGTAGCTTTGTTTTTTGGGCAAATATCATAAGGAAAGTGTTCATTCTATGCATGAGCATTCAATCATCCAACACGAGGATGGTAATTAGGCTCGGCGTGAGACAATTCTGAATTGTACCGTGTTTTATTATGATAATAAATAAGAGTCGGTGGCACTCAATCGCTCTCCCAAGTGGACCCGTTTTTGCATCATCCAATCTTTGCCCATGACCAGTTTTATGTACTTCCTCCATTCCAAAATAAGTATCGTTTTAGCAAAATGGAGAAATTCCAAAATAAGTGTCGTTCTCACATTTCGATGCACTTTTTGTCAAAAGTTTCCAAAATTACCCTCAAAAGAGTTGATGCTATTAGTGGACAATTTTATAATGGGGTTGGCTGAGGATATTTAAGTAATTTTATTACCCTATTTAAGAGTTTCTTAAACTATGTGCAAAGTATAGACACTTATTTTAGAATGAATGGAGTGTTACGTTCTAGGGAAAATACCATAAAAAGGTCTCAAAATACTCACTATGCAGTACAGAAGGAAAATTGAGCAATCAAATGAAAAATGTTATGTAAAAACAAGAGTTTCAGAAGATATAATTTTTCATAAATCTTGAAAATTTACTTTAGTTTCATTAATGTGTCCCCAAATTTATTTATTATATTGCATGTTTTTTTGTGTATTGATGAAATATCGATACAATGTTAGAAGTTGTTGGATAGTAAAGTATCACTCACTTCATTTCAAAATAGATGTCGTTGGAGGAATTGCACAAAATTTAGGAAGAAAATAAATATTTAGTTAAAATACTAATCTACCTCATTTACTTTCAATGGAATTCTATTTCTAATATTATTTAGTTCTAATACACTTCTTCTTTAAACACAATTACAATTTCTGATGTAGGGGCAATGTTGGAAGAAATTGGCAATACATGCCTCGAAATGCAAAAACAACATGTGTTTTAAAAAAAATAAGTTTTCCTCCAATGACATTTATTTTGGAATGAAGGGAGTATTTTTGTTTTTTTAAAGGGATCAATGGTTGAATGGAGGGAGTATTTACTAATCTTTAAACAAGATAAATCTATGACCCGTGTACTTAAATTAGTTTCTATTAATAAAATTAATTGCAGGGAGGATCGGCATCGCGCCATTTCATCGAATAATTCGGTAACACAAAAACATGTGTAGAAGTCTGGAAGAAAAATAGGGATTATATCTTATTTAGTAAGCTGTATAAATAATTACTATTGGAGCGTGCATATATGCATGTATGTTTCTAAGTGGAAGGTGGAAGATTTCCGTTCAAGAAGGAAGTGAACATGGTGAGGGCTCGAGCTGGCTGGTAACTAGGAACAAGATGTCCAGCCCCTCTTACAGTCACAAACATAAAATTCTCATATTCAACTGCATATCCACCAACCTGGAAAAAAATAAAAATTCATGGTGTAATTGGCTTCTCAAAATCAAAAGGGTATGAATTTTTGGTATGAATTTCTTCTCTATTTTGCTCTTACCTCGCCTTGGGTGTACCAGGGGTACCAAGCTGTTTTGACTGAGAACCCCATCTTCTGTATGGCATATCTAGTTGTCGTTACGGGAACTACACTATCTATATCTCCACTGTAAAATGCATAAAATAGTTTCATTTATTATACTGGTTTTTTTTTTTTCTAATACTCCCTCTGGTCCCAAATTACTGTCCAGTTTGAGATTTCACTTTTAGTACGATTTGTACTAGAAATGAAAAGCCAAATTGGATAATAATTATGGGACGGAGAATAGCATTTTTAACTATACTTATAGGAGACAGAAGCAAAAAAGTGCATTCGATTTTTTTATTTTTTGGCCATGAAATCAACCAAAAAGAAGGAAGCAAATGAATTGCGTTGCCTAACCTATACATCCAGACACTAATTCCATTTACGGACAGCTCCTGGATAACTGGTAAAACTGTGGCTGGTTTGTCCTGCCAATTTGTTCCTATGAACTCGCTGTTACATTCACAAAGATTAGAAATTTGAGATTGCTTAATCCACCAAATAAAGAGGATACTCCTTCTACTAGCTAGATTTTTGTAAAGTACTGAGTGAAACCATTAAAAAAAAAAAAGCCAACAAGAATAATTTCATGGATAATTTAGGGCATAAACTTGTATATCTTACTTTCAAAAGTAATTGTTGATATGTTTTTTAGGAAAAGTTAAAACAAAAAATAAGAATGCCGCAGTTCAATGCATGCAGAACAAAAACGCTAGCTGCATGTAAAATACACAACGTACTTGCAGGATTGCCAAGGTCCGGGTAGTCCAGTGTTGTTGGCATGGAGAGATTGTTGTACATCAGGATTATTTAGGTAAGAAACGACATCAGCGCATGGATCAAATTGGGACACCTAAGTTTCATAGAAGAAAGAATTTAGAAATTAAAGAATTTCTGAAATTCTTGATTCCAAAAACAGAAAATGTATTTATTTTATTTTTACCGAAGAGGGACATAAGGCAGCATAAATATTATAGGGGTCAATATTGCCTTTAGCTGCACGTGATTGATCCTTGTAGTTGTCACAAATATCGGATGAATAATATGGGATGGAAAAATTGCAATTTGATAGAATGCCCTCGTAGATTTCATCCGAGATTAGAGCATGTGTCCAGAGATAATCAAACCTTCCCTTTTGTTGTGTTTCATAATCCACAAATGCATTCCCAATCTGAAAAAAAAAAAAAGGCACGATTTTTGGTACCATTTTTTTGAGCAATGTGTATCAAGCTAGTGAAAGTGGCCAAAAAAAAAAAAAACTTACAGCAATCCCTTTGAGGTTAATGACAGTTTGATTAGTGATTTTGTTGTTTTGAAGGATGAGATGAGCAAGTTGAGGTACGTAATGGCCGGCATAACTTTCTCCGGTTAAGAAGAAGTCTCTGGTTTTGTACTCTGGAAACCTTTCTAACCAATTCCCTAGAAATGTGTATGAATCTTCAGCGGTACGGTTATCGCCGGTGACATAATCCGATGAAGTGTTTGAGTATGAAAATCCAACACCCGCCGGAGATTCCAGGAAAATCACATTTGCGGCTGCATTGGAAAATTAAACAAGGACGAATTAAAAATCAGATCCTGTAATATTAAAAGAGTAGATAATTTTAGAGTTCAAGAACAAATAGTAGTACTAATTAATTAATTACCAGTGTTCCAGGCATATGGATTATGCAAAAGCGTTGTTCCATCGCTACTAACTCGAAATGGACCAAGTTCTTTAAATGCTCCGGCGCCGAGCGACGAGCAACCAGGACCTGAGATTTTCTCAACTTTGTCACCGGCCGATTAAGCAATCGTGTATGTAACTATTAAGAAAAGAAAAAAGGTAATGAAAAACTTTACCTCCATTTAGCCAAAGAACAAGAGGTTTGCTAGAAGGGTTATCATCACATTCAGTAAAATAGTAGAATAAAGCCCGACCAGCAATTGGATTTACGGTCACATATCCAGCGTACTGATTAAAAGTAATTTCATTAGGTTGCCCTGGCAATTCAGTGATCCGATCAGCTTCCTTCAGTCCATCTTGAGAGCCCGTATAAACCGGCGAATACTCGACGTTGTCAAAATCCTCCTTTGCAAGAACAGATGCAACTATACACAAGAGTATTGTTAGAGTTAGTGAGGGTGCACCTTTCATTTTCTTAGTATACATGAGTTGAAGACCAATTTGTTCTTCCACTGCAATGTACTACCTTTTAGTACTCATAGATAGAAAAAAGTAATACCTCCGCCCCACAAAAATAGTCCACATTGAATTTTTAAATTTGTCTTAAAAACAGTATAAAACTTAAAACTTAATGTGGATTATTTTTGGAGGACGGAGGGAGTAGTATATATTGAGTTTAACGTCCTCATCACATAGTAAGATAAAGTCTCTGTCACATAGTAGGATAAAGACATTGTTGCTGTTGATTAACGTCTTCAGTACTTGATGCTTAAAGTTTAAATATTTAATATAGGAAAATATTGGATACAACTCAAAAACTAAATCAACGGATTATTTTTTTTTGGGGGGGGTGAAATTAAAGGTTGCATAATAAAGATGTAAAAAAATAATTAAAAAAAAAACACATGTACGTGGCGGAGGGAGGGGGACCAGCAGGGGCAGCCGCCCCCTCCCTCAAAAAATTTACAAGTAAAATTTTTTTTTTGGAATTGTACCTATAATTTCAGAAATTTTTCATTTTTCGCCCTGCAAATTTTTTTTTGGTCACATTTCGTCCCTGCTTACTACAAATTCTAACTCCGCCACTGCATATACATTCCTCGTATTTTCAGAAAATACATAATGTATTGACTCCTCGTTCATGATTTATTCTTGTGAAACTCTACAGAAAAAGACAGCATTGGACGCGAAAACGATAAGAAGGTTAGTCCACAATTAAAGCCAGACATAAAGATGATCCATTTTTGAGACGGGTAGATTTTTAGTTCCTCACGTCGCAATTGATGCAGCTTTTGGGTTCCGGTGATTTGGATGTATTGACAATTTTAACATCATTTTTTAGAATTTTGTTCTCCACTTGATCCCAGCTTTTGTTTTTTTTTTTTCCTTTTTATAATGGAAAAAAAAAACATTAAATTAAGAGGAGAAGCAACTACTTAATTATTAATAAATCGTACGTACCACCATATTGTAAATGAGTAATGTTTGTTACATACTGATTCAACAAAATGGAAATGGCATCCCAACAAGTCAATTAATTACGTGTGGGTGTCATCTTGGTGGATGGAGGAAGCTTTCCCTCTAAAAATGAAGTGAACATAGTAAGTGCTCGAGCTGGCTGGTAACTAGGAACGAAATGTCCAGACCCTCTTACAGTTACGAAGGTAAAATTCTCATACCAAACCGTATAACCACCAACCTACAAGGAAAAAAAAACAACAAATAAATACAAAAATCTTTTAGCTCGAATTGATACTCGACGAAATAGACCTTTTTTTTGTTTGTGAAAAGAATATCACATTCGCGGCTTATAAGTACTCTGGATTTGTAATTTGTAAAGCTTATAATTAATCACCTCGTTTTGGTGATACCATGGAAACCAAGGCGTTTTGACGGAGAACCCCATCTTAGTTATGGCGTACCTAGTTGTTGTCACAGGCACATTACAATCGGTATCTCCACTGCAAATTTCAAAAACAATAAAAATCATAGTTTGGCCGAAAAAAAAAAAAAAACATTTTCCCAATTTATTTAATCAAAAAAATAATAGTAATAATAATACTCGAATTCCATAATCAGCTACCTATAAATCCAGACACTAATACCAGTAGTAGTCAGCTCCTTGATGACATCAAGCACTGAGTCTGGCTCATCCTCCCAATTCCCATGAACGAAGTTGCTGTAGTAAACACAAATTACAAGAAATTAAGAGTACTTAATTTTAACTCTCAAAATTCACTTCATTTTCTTTTTAGAAAAATCAAAAGTTACAACCTTGAAGACGAACATAAATTATGTTTAATACGTACCTGCATTCACCCCAAGGTCCAGGGAGTCCACCGGTGGTATTTGCGTGGAGTGATTGTTGCACATTGGGAGTGTTTAGGTAAGATTCAATGTAGTCATCAGAGCACGGATCGAATTCGGATATCTAATCAATCAATTTCATCAAACAAGTTTGGAAGAAATTAGTACTCCTTCTGTCCCAAAACTATTGTACAGTTTAGATTTACACTTTTAGTTCAATTTTTACTACAATTGAAAGTTTAAACTGGACAACAATTTTACGAAAGGAGTATAAAAACTGTTATTATAAATAATTAAAGTTGGTTTTTTTTGGAATAATTAAGTAGCAAGTCTTTAAGATTTGTTTGGTTTTTACCGAAGGTGGAGTCTGTGATGGAGATGAACACAAAGGAGCATAGATATTATACTCGTTAATATGGCCAGCTGCTGCAGTTGCTTTTTCCTGGTATTGTTTACAAGCCTCAGATGAAGGAGTTGCCATTGAGAAATTGCAGTTGGAAATTATGCCCTGATAGATTTCATCTGGAATCAGCCCATGAGACCAACTGAAATCATTCAGGCCCCGGTTTTGCGTTTCAAGGTCTATATACGCATTTCCAATCTGATGAAACCAAAAGGAAAAAAAAAAAGTGAATAATTAATTTTGTGGGAATTATCATTTCAAGACGTAGTGATTAATTGTTTGATATCAAACGAAAGAATCAAAGTATACTTACAGCAATCCCTTTGAGGTTGATGACGGTTTGGTTAGTGATTTTGTTGTTTTTAAGGATGAGTTGAGCAAGTTGAGGAACGTAGTGGCCAGCGTAACTCTCTCCTGTTATGAAGAAATCCCTGGTTTTGTACTCCGGGAATCTTTCCCACCAATTGACTAGAAATGTGTAGGAATCCGCCGCAGTTTGTTTGTCTCCGGTGACGTAATCTGTTGAAGTGTTTGAATAAGAAAATCCAACACCCGCCGGAGACTCCAGGAATATTACATTGGCAGCTGCAATATATGCAAGAAATCAGGCGGCCGGTCCATAAACGATATATATAGATTATGTTAAGGAAGAATTACTAATACTTAATTACCGGTGTTCCAGGCATGTGGATTCCGCCATAGAGTTTTTCCGTCACTGTTTACTCGAAATGGACCAATTTCTTTAAAGGCTCCGGCCCCGAGTGATGAGCAACCAGGACCTGCACTTATATATATGAATTGTTATATTAAACAATTTTTATTCCACATTTTTATGTTATTTCAGGTAGTATATATTACTTCTATGTCCAAAAAAAAAAATAGTTCATATCAAATTTTTAAATTTATACTAAAAATAGTACTATAAATGTAGACTATTTTTTTAAAACAGAGAGAACACATAATATATCTTTCCGTAAACCCGCCCGAAATTAGGGACGTTACATGCAACTTACCATCCAACACGTGTCTATATATCATTAACATAGTATTTTATCACCCTGTCCTTTCTTTTAATTTGTCTAGATTTCATTAGTAATTTTTTTGAATTTGTAAAACAAAAAAAAAATTAAAAAAAATCATATGCATGTTACACGTCGTCAAATGCTGATTAAGATGGATCGCAAATTCGCTAATTTCATGTCTGGATTCTTAAAATTATCAAGTAAACAATTAGGTACGTATAAGAAGGTTGGAAATTAAATTTTGAAAATATAGGTACTCTAGTAATTACCTCCATTGAGCCAAAGGACTAATGGCTTCGAAGAAGAGTTTTCCGATTCGGCAAAATAGTAAAAGAGAGCTCGTCCGGCTTCTGGATCCACCGTCACATATCCCGCGTATTGACCGAAAGCAACTCCGTCCGGTTGTCCTGGCAATGCACTGATCTTATCAGCCGCTTTCAAACCCTCTTGAGATCCGACATAAACCGGTGAGTATCCGTCGTACTTAAAACCCTCTTCATTCGGGGAATGGACCCATGATGCCGTTTTCGGGCGGCGAGAACGGAGGTGTTTAGTAAGAGGATCATTGCCAATCCCGGCGTAAGACTGTGCGGATGAAACAATGTAGAAGAAGATAGCTAGAGGTAATGCGATTACGTATGCAGTTTTCATGGTTTTCTCTCTGAATTCAGTGCAATTTTTGGCTTCTCTTATATACATGGTCATATTTATACAAAAAGGTTTGGTGCAATAATGTCGAGTTTGGAGTCTTCGGCACTGTGCATTGACCGTTCTTGACTCGTGCGGAATTATTTTATTTATTTTATATTTAAAATATAGTACTGATTATATATGACGTTATTTTGAAATGGTCATGTGTATTATGCTTGTTCTCTCGACAAATCTTGATGGGGGAGGTATCTTAGTCAGCGTTTCATGCCAAATGCAAAAACGGGTCTTGCCGTCTTGGCATCACGACCACCATAATCTAGTGTAATCTTGATTCTTGCACGCGGAAATAAATATGGGACTTGGCTCAATTCTTTTTATTATTATTATTATTATTATTATTATTATTATTATTGTTATTGTGTAATTTGAATTTTCACTTTAACTCAAATTAATGTTAGTAACAATTGAGATTCTAACAATATTTTTATCTTTGTTCATTGAGTTCACAGTCAACAAGTTGAAGACTTCAAATTTTTGTAGAAAGAAAAAAGAATACTTTTAATGAATTTATTCTTTTGCTTTCTCTATTACAATGTCACGAATAATGTATAACGTGTTAAGGGCGCCGTACCGATTTCACCTTCTATATAGAAAGATCTTTCAAAATATAAATAAACTCCTTAATTAAATTATATATTAGACCATGATCATAGATAGTGTAAAACGAGCATTCTTTGTTACATTTTTGTAATCGATTATTTGAGCAGAGCAATAACGTCATAACTCGTAAAGTTCCTGGTACCCCTCCACAACCAAACAAAAACAAAAGCTTATGTCTAACTGGATGGTGGGAGTTTTCCCGCTAAGAATGAAGTGAAGAGAGTGAGAGCTCGAGCTGGCTGATAACTTGGAACGACATGACCGGACCCTCTCACAGTCACAAAGGTGAAATTTTGGTCATATCCAACTGCATAACCACCAACCTAAAAGGGGAATTTCAAAGAAATATATAGTTAAGAAATGTAAAACGTTACATTACCTAGAGTGGAAGTCCTTATCTCCTTCCATCTCAAATTAACTTAAAATATGCTAGCAGCTAGAGTGTTTTCACTTGTGTTACACAACTTTGATTGTAATTTAATAGATTCATTTTCATCAAGCATCAGTAATTTTTGGAAGAAAAAAGGAATCAATTTCAAAACTTGAAAATTAAGTTTGATTGAACCGTTTACTCTTCTTGGTAGTATTAACAAATTCTAATAATTCTTACCTCGTCTTGGGTATACCATGGATACCAAGGAGTTTTGACGGAGAAACCCATCTTAGTTATGGCATATCTAGTTGTTGTCACCGGAACTACACTGTCTACATCTCCACTGCAAATTCAAGAAACAAATTCAAATTTGGTTCGTCAAAGAAATTTCAAAGTAATTATCTCTCGGTCTTCTGTCCCGAATGATTGTCCTGTTGTCTTACTATTTTGTGACGGACTGAAAAATACTTACTTATTGGAAGTAGTTCCACTTAGCCAAAAACAATACTAATAAGAATCTCATATTAAACATGTACCTATACATCCAAACACTAATTCCACTTGTAGTCAACTCCTTGATTACTGGCAAAACTGAATCCGGTTCATCCTGCCAGTGGTTTCTTATGGAATCGCTGTAAACATATACAAATTAGAACTTGAAAATTACTTAAGAAAAACAATTTTCCATTTTCATCTATTTAAATGGGAAAAAAAAAATTTACTATGCTTACTTGCAACCACCCCAAGGTCCAGGGAGTCCAGTGATATTGGCATGGAGGGATTGTTGGACCTCAGGAGTGTTTAGGTAAGAATCGATGTAGTAACCGGTGCATGGATCGAATTCAGATCTCTAATTAATAGAATGACATTTGGAAATTACGTGAGTTGTACTGATAACTTATAAAAATTGCTTCGGAAAAATCGAGGAAGGCTATTTTTTTACCGGAGGTGGACGTGAAGGAGAAAGACATAAGGGAGCATAAATGTTGTAAGGGTTAATGTCGCCTTCAGCTGCAGTTGCTTGATCCTGGTATTGTTTACAGGCATCTGATGAAGGATTTAGAAAGGAAAAATTGCAGTTTGAAATTATGCCCTGATAGATCTCATCTGAGATTAGAGCATGAGACAAAATGTAATCAATCACCCCACGGTTTTGTGTTTCAACGTCCACATACGCATTTCCAATCTGAATAAAAAAAAATGTATATTAATTTGTAGCTCACTTACCATTTCTAATGGTAGATCAAACGAGAATATACCAAAATCAAAGTACTTACAGCAATCCCTTTGAGATTGATGACAGTTTGGTTAGTCATGATTTTGTTGTTTTGAAGGATGAGTTGAGCAAGTTGAGGTACGTAGTGGCCGGCATAACTCTCTCCGGTTAAGAAGAATTCCCTGGTTTTGTACTCTGGAAATCTTTCTAACCAGTTGATTAGAAATGTATAGGAATCTGCGGCTGTTCTTTTATCACCGGTGACATAATCTGATGAAGTGTTTGAGTATGAAAATCCAACACCCGCCGGAGATTCGAGGAATAGTACATTGGCAGCTACATTTTGGATGAAAAAAAAAATACAGATCCGTAATTAAGAGCATCTTCTGAATGCAATCGTATACTTTGTGTGTTTCTCTGTCCCGGAATTATTTTTCAGTTTAGATTTTTAGTTTTAGTACAGATTAAATCGAAAGTGAAAATCCACAATGAGAGTAATAATTTCGAGACAAATAAAGTATCAAATATATTGTTATAGTAGTAGAATTTAGCTTGGAATCAGTACATAAGTAGAATTACCAGTGTTCCAAGCATACGGATTTTGCCAGAGTGTTTTACCATCGCTATTAACTCGAAAAGGACCAAGTTCGGCAAACGCTCCAGCCCCAAGTGAGGAGCAACCTGGACCTGGTTATAATAATTAAGTTGTAAACTATAAGGATCGTATTCATATAATTATGAATGCCTGTAAATGTTAATGGGTAGTAGTTTTCATTTGGAATAAAAATTGGGCTGCATTAAAAGTCACGTAACAAATGATAAGTTCGAGTGCAATCTTTTACCGTAGGTGTGATTTTAGAATAACGTTAATAAGTAAGTAGAAAAAAGTGGAATTGCGAAAATAGGAGTACCTACCTCCATTTAGCCAAAGGACTAATGGCTTGGAAGAAGAGTTTTCCGATTCAGCAAAATAGTAAAACAAGGCTCGTCCGGCGTTCGGATCAACGGTCACATATCCGGCGTATTGGTTGAAACTAAGTCCATCTGGTTGGCCCGGCAAGGCGGTGATCTGATCAGCTGCCTTTAATCCATCTTGAGAACCAACATAAACCGGCGAGTACCTGACGTTGTTGTCCAAATCCTCTTCTGTTAGAAAATTGAATGATTCTTTGGAGCTACGAGAACGGAGATGTTCTGTAAGAGGATCGTTGCCAACTCCGACATAACATTGTACGGATGCAACAACTATGCAGAAGAAGAATAATAAAACAGTTAGAGTTAACACCAATGCACCTTGCATTTTCTTGTATTAGCGCAACTGTTTTGTTCTTCCATTTTTCATATTTATAAGAAGAAATGGGCCATCAACTAATTAATTTTTGAATTCGCACTAATTAACTTGAAGAGATACATAAGTACTAACAGTATTTTATCCAAAAAATACTAACAAAATTATTTTACTATTATTTGTATACGGTTAGCTTTTTTTATTATATTGTTCTTCTCAACTTTTATGAGGTACCTTAGTCTACGTTTTCAGCCGAACGGTTAGTCCTTGCCGTCTTAGCATCTCACAAAGACAACTATAATAACAAATATCGAGTTGTCTTCAAATTAAAAAATTTAAAAAAGAAGAAAAGACATGATGTTAATTACACGTCGGTGTTATCTACTAACTAATTAAATATTGTAAATTTATGCCCATAACAAAAAAAAAAAAAAAAGAGGACAAATATCATGCAGGGTGCCCTGAGGAATTATCACGCAGCTGAGGCAAAATGGAGCCAATTGGCAGCATATTAGTTCCAATATAGTATTACTAGATGTTATACTCGTGCGATGTACGGGATTAAATAATAATTTTGTAATAATTTATCGTTATTTATTATAGTCTTATTTTTCTAATTATATTAGTTATTGAAATCAAATAAAATGTTACAGAAATAAGTTTGATTTCCAGATATAGTCGGTCAATAGTTCACTTGGTAAAGTTGATCTAAAAACTCAATACATTAAGGTATGGACCTACTAAAACAAACCAAATGTTAGTACTGAACACCAATGTGACGCCTATAAATTTATTATTATTATTAGATAAATTTTTTAGTTAACAATAAAATATAGATCTAATTTTTATAGTTTAATTAAGCTCAAAAGTTCTGAGAAGAAAAAAGAAGACAATATTTGCTTGTACACACACTCAAAAAAAAAAAATAATAATAAGAACAAATTTCTGGCTACTCAACCCCAAAAATTATTCAGCTTCCTATTCTTTTTGTAAACTTAAAGCGGGATATCATTGAATTCCACTAAACTTTAAGGGACAAGATCATTGAAACAATCCAAGTTTTATTTTGACAATTTATAAGAAAATTACACCTAGGATTTTTGATGTGGCACTTTAGGGATTAAATATTATTTTCTCTCTCTAGTTTCTCTCTTAGAATATACTATAGATAGATGAGCTTATTATAAAGTAATAACGGAAACAGTAAAGTCATAATCCTTTATATTACTAATTTCAAAATTTAAATGGAAATATAGATGAAAGAGTAAGATATGTACTAGTTAACATTTGATGAATATATATATATATAAAAACTTAATAAATTTATTCTTTAAAAAAATTTAGAATGTATAGTCTTTTATTTAGTGCGTTACTTCGGTTACTAGGTAATATACACACTAGACAAATTCTCTCTGTTTTTTTATTTTTAAAAATTATTTGAGTCATAAACGATGTTTTATTCTAGAGTAAATGTCTAAAGGAGGAAAACAATGGTTTAATTAGGGCTGTAAACGAACCGAGCCGCTTGCGAGTTATTTGCGAGTCGGCTCGGTCAAAGATCGGTTCGAACTTGAGTTGACTGAGTTCGAGTCGATCTCGAGTTAGTTTGTTAGAGTAACGAGCCGATTTCGAGTTCGGTCGATGTTTGCTCGTTGGCTCGACGAGCCGCTCGGTCCAGTGTACTTTAATACTATTATTTTTTAAAAAAAGATTTGGTAAAAGGAAAATGAAACTTCCAAAGTTTCAGTCATTATTCTCGCGTCTCTCTCTCTCCCCAACCTCTCCTCTCATCATTTAAGTCGATCCATCGTTCATCACCATGAATCATGAATAAACTTAGGTCTTCTTTTTTTCTTATTTTATATAATCAGACCTGGTACTTAACTTCATCCGTTGTTTTGTAAGGATTACGAAAAGGACATGAGATAACTTTGATGGAAATATTTGGGGTTAGATCTAGGAAATTGTCACCACCCAAAAATCTCTGTTTGTTGTTCTTTGATGTTATTTGGGGTTCCTGGAAGTATAATCAGTGTCTCCAAGCTATTTAACTTGTTACCTTAAGGCCAAAATTTTTGAATCCTCTTCTTCATTAACTCTGAAGTCATCATCTTCATTCTTCTTCTTTTTTAATTGAAAAAGATTCGTGCTAATTTGATAATAAGTCAATGCGGCGGTGTCGTTTTCCGGCGTAAGGGCAGCGCCGCAAAGCCTTCTCAATTTTGACTTCGTATTTATAAACTTTCCTTCCGTGCCATTTTCAGATTTTTTTTAAAATATTTTTGTTCTAAATTTATGTCTTTTATCTCTTAAGATTCATCCACTTTTAGTTAATATTTTTGTTGATTTAATCTTTTAGCTTTCATGAATGGGCTGATTTTGAGCTTTCTCGAATGGGCTTATGATGGACTTAATGTTATAGCAAAAGAAATTTCAAATCAACTCCTTTGTTCTACAACGAAATTGTTTCACACTTTCAAATTGATTTCGAGTTTTCGAGCCGAGCTCGATCTCTACAAAATCGGAACGGGCCAAGTTCAAGTCTGAAAATTTTGGCTCGATCGAGTTCGAACCGAACTTGAGCTCTGTAAAAAAAAATTCGAGTCGAGTTCGAACATAAGCAAATTCGCGCTCGACTCGGCTCGTTTACAGTCCTAGGTTCAATCGTCCCTCTGGGGATGGGCTTTCCCACGTGTAAACTCCAAATTTTTTTCCTTCCACTCGTGCTGCTCTGGGTCCATCGTCTCCCTCCAAATGCGATCCAATCCACGTGTCATCCTCTCATTCCACAGCGCCAAATCTGTCTTTTTCCTTTGTCTGATTCCTTCGTCGTCTTCCCTCCACAGTGGAATCAAACCTCCCCTCCAGCGTTCTCTTCTACTCAAAGGTCTATAGCAATTTCTCCAATTAGCATCAATTCTGCGCATTGCCCTACGGATTCAGTGCTGCCTTGCTCGTCGCTTCGCCCAGATTTGCAATGTGATGCCTCATATACAATTCCACCTTCTTCATTATGTCTCCGCATCTCAGAGCTCGATTGGAACACCGGCTTCTTCCTCCAAGATGAGAAAGAAGGAAATACAAGAAAGAAGGAATTTCGGCTAAAATGTCCTCCAAGGGACAACATTTTACAACTCCCAGCAATCCCCCTCCAACAACAACAGTGTTGGAACAAGTACGGAGGGTCCAAATTCCGTTGGGTAGGGGCATTGTTCCCGGGTTTTACCGACCCGCCCACAGCATGAGGCAAGGTCAGACCACGATTGTGGTGTCCGTTTGAGCGATATTGAGGTTAAGAATCGTCGATTGGGATTGGGGGGTTTTGTTTATGGCTGCTGTTTTAGGGTTTCTGTGCTGCGATTGTTGTTCTTCGTCGTTGTTTATGGTTTATCTGTGAGATATGAGTGGTTTTTGCTGTTGATGTTGTTTGGATCTGATTTTTTCCATTGCTTTGATCATCACTTTTACGCTTAGCTCTGGTTATTTATTCTCAAACAAGATGGAATCTTTGGATGCCAAATGAAGTTGGACATGGATGCACTTTCTTTATGATTGATTGGTTTTCTCCCAGAAACATAGTGAGTGAGTTCGGTATCAAGCTTTTTTTGCTGGATTAAGTTTTGATAAGGTATAGATGGGGCATCTTGGGAAAGACGTGAACTTTGAAGCAAGATTTTTCATTTTGTCTCATTATGATATTATATGTTTGAAGTTGAGTTAATTCCTGCATTTCCAAATAATTTTTCCCCTTTGTAGTTGTGATGGATGTGTGTTAGTTTCTTCTGATATTTTCTTGTTGCTATCAGGTTTGATTCTAATGTTTCAATCTGCTTGTTTGCCCTCACAGGAAGTGGAAGATGCTCAGAAGATCAGGAAGACTGTTATTGAGTGTTTTGAGAAATGTGATCTGCTAAACCTGGATAATGAAGCAAGAAAGAAGCTTCGGCATTATGTTGTAGTTGGTGGTGGCCCAACAGGAGTAGAGTTTGCTGCTCAACTTCATGACTTTTTAGCCGAAGATTTGTCCAAGTTATACCCCACTATCAAAGATTTTGTCAAGATAACACTGCTTATGGGGACAGATCACATCTTAAACATGTAATCCTGTCACTCTCTTCTTTTTGTTATGCATTGTTCACATTAGATATATATTCTCCTTGATTCTGCATTGAGTTGATAGTAATTACGATGATTACTTCCATTATTGTTGTTATTTTTGGCTTACTTTTTCTGTGTTTGATTTTTAAACATTGTTTTCTTTGTATGAATGGTGTATGGAAACTGCATTCTTGAATATCCAGGGAAGAATAACTTATCATAAATTAGCATGTTGCATATATAAGGTTCGAATTTGCTGAATAAGTTTGTTAATCTCTTTTTTCCTTTGCATACCATGTTTCTGTCTCCTTTTCGTTTGGAAATTTTTCGGTTATTGTCTTTTATTAAAAAGTATCTTTTACTTTTGGCTGAAGTTTTTATATTTTATCGGCAACAACTAGTCTTTCTCGAACTGAAGTTTTTTGCTTTCAAATTTGTATTTTTGGTTCCATATGAAGTTATTGAGAAGGTAATTTATGACTTCGAATCTTGCATCTTGTTTGGGTATTTCCTCAAGCTGTCTTCTTTGTTCCATATCATAGAGATTGCATCCACGTATGTTGTTTTATTCCATCATTACTTCTAGCCATGTTGAATGCGTTGAGAGCTTCTTTAAAAGTAATTTAGTTTTGTGAGGAACCGAGTATAATAGAACTCAAATTTGCAGTTTCTGATGGATTTGGCATTTGTATGCTTCGCATGACTGGAAAAAAGAACAGCAACAAAGTTACAAACAATCGGACCTTGCCAGCCAATGCGTACATCAGGTACAAAAATCTTTTAAAATCAGCCTAATTCCTCCCCAGTAAAAGTAAATGTGATCACTCGTGTTAGTACTGTATTGCTAAATAAATTATATCCTATTGTTGCTAGAAATCTCTCGCCCTTGTGTTTCTTATCTGAATCTAGGCATACTGATTCTTTGCTCGAGCAACAAACTATACCCTTAAATGTCCTATGTTCTGTTCTAAATTAGCCTTGTAATCACTTTACATAAGGATACAAGATCTATATTAAAGGATCGGCATGGTCAGTCAGAAAGAAGTACATTCGTGCTTGTAATTCTCTGACACTGTTAGTAAAGACGCATACTATGATTTCTTCACAAGAAGCTTGATGACTTTACAACACTATTGGCCTGTTAAAGATGAAGACAAGTGCAGATCGATAAAGCATGCAGTTGAATGGGCTAACAAAAATCAGGAAAAGGTAATCCCTTGTCTTGAAAGCTGATAACTTATCATCTACATCTATAAGACCACAAATTTGGATTGATTGAGAAAGCTATGCAATCTAGCTGTGACTTGAGTTTTGGGTGCATCTATAACAAACTCTTGGCAAATACATCTATGCGATCTAGTTCTTATTTGTAATTTTTATTGTTATACAAAATGTACTAAATAATACAATTATTTGAGGACGGAAAGAGTATAACAGACAAAATAAATTTTTTTTGAGACCGAGGAATTAGTATATTAATGTTTATGGAAGCAAAAAACTTGAATGATTAGCTAGCTAGCCCCAAAAGATACAAAAATTTGCATTTCTTACCAATACAACCAAACACTGACTCCGCTTCTAATCAGTTTCTTGATGACTGGTAGCACTGATTTTGGCTCGTCCTGCCAGTTTTCATTCATGAAGTAGCTGTGAAGTACAAGGTAGAAGTTATGAGATTGATTAGTTAACCCTAAACCGTGCCCCAAAAGAAAAAAAAAACAAAACAAAACAAAACAAAAAGAAAACACATGTGGTCACAAATTAAATACATACTTGCAAATCTCCCAGGTTCCAGGAAGTGATCCGGTGATATTTGCATGGAATGATTGTTGCACTTCGGGAGTGTTTAGGTAAGCATGGACGTAGTTACTAATGCATGGATCAAATTGGGACACCTAATTTTATTTTCATAAAATAAAAGTTTAAAAAAAAAGAAGAGAAATCATATATTATGTTGTTCCATTAAATTAAGTACTGCCGTGAAAAAGAAAAAGTTGTGCTTAATTAATTTCTTACCGAAGGTGGACGTTGTGAAGAAAGAGAGGAATTAGAAGAAGATGACAAACAAATGGGAGCATAGATGTTGTAAGGGTCAATGTTGCCTTGAGCTGCATAGGCTTCATTCCGGTATTGTGCACATTCATCTGATGAAGGAGCAAATGATGAGAAATTGCAATTTGACATTATGCCATGAAATAAAAAAGAAGCAAAATATACTTACAGCAATCCCTTTGAGGTTGACAACAATGTGATTAGTGATTTTGTTCTTTTTGAGGATGTATTGTGCAAGTTGAGGTACGTAATGTCCGGCATAGCTTTCTCCGGCTATGAAAAAATCCCTGGCTTTGTATTCTGGAAACCTTTCTAACCAATTGACTAGAAATGTGTAAGAATCTTCGGCAGTTCGTTTATCGCCGACGACGTAACCCGATGTAGTGTTTGAATAAGAAAACCCAACACCCGCCGGAGATTCCAGGAAAAGCACATTGGCAACTGCATCATGTTGTAAGAAAGGAAATTATTAATTATAGGAGGATTTTTTTTTGTGGACGTATATCATATATATAATAGTGAATTTTAATTATAAAGAAAGGAAATGAATTAGGGATATAAAAAAAATAAAAAAATTTTTTTAAAAAAACTAACCATTGTTCCAAGCATATGGATTTTGCCAGAGTGTTTTTCCATCGCTATTGACTCGAAAAGGACCAAGTTCAGTAAGCGCTCCGGCCCCAAGTGAAGAGCAACCAGGACCTGATTTTTTAAAAACCAATGGGGGGAAAAAAAATCATTCTAAAGGATATGAAAGATATAAGAAAAGAAATGTTTGATTATAGTGTTTTTTTGTCTTAAGAAAAGCCAGGAGTACCGAAAATTAATTAAAATATTACCAATTAAGCAAACATTTCGCTTTTCTTTTAAAAAAAATAAAAAATAAAGGTAGTACTACTTTCGTCTAGCTACGAATTACCCTATTTACAAGTTGACCTCATGTAATCTTAGCATTGAGCAAGCAATCTAGCAATGTTTCAGCGCTATTCCCTTCATCTAATATGAAGTGTTTGTTTTATGAAATTAAAAGAGTTCAACAAAAATGAACTATCATAATAAAGGCAAAGGAAACGCGTTACTTATTGTAAATATGATCTTTGTATAATGATGGTTAAATGAGGTATGAATTGTTCAAAACCAAGTTGGAAAAAAAAAAAAGTAGCGAAAAAGACCGTAATAACCAATAAATTTTGATTATTGACGTTGACCCTGTGAATCTCATGATACTTTATGGCATCTTTAGCTACTAGCTATCCGGTCGGATTGCATTGAATTGTTGACCCGTCGTCTGGGTTGAAGTCGTGGTTAAAACACGATATTATCAGAATTTCTTATTCATGCAATGTTTTGATTTAAATTTCTGTTAGATGTTACCTCCTTTTTTGTACCAAAAAAAAAAAGTACATTAACTAACACTCTCTCTGCTAGTGCGAAATGATTATCTATTTTGAATTTTTATTTTTAAGACAACTTTTTAAACCAAAAAATAAAAATTTAAAGTGAATAATATTTTAGGACAGAAAGAATAACAACTAAATATTCGTAAATTAGAATGAAAAAAAAAGAAGAAAGAAAAAAAAGGTATGTATACCTCCATTAAGCCAAAGCACGAGAGGCTTCTTGGAAGAAGAATTGTGGGATTCAACAAACCAGTAGAAAAGTGCTCGATCCGCATTTGGATCCACGGTAACATACCCGGAGTACTGATCAAATTTGATTCCATTTGGTTGCCCCGGCAAGGCGGTGATTTTATCTGCCGCCTTCGACCCTTGTGGAGAACCCACACAAACCGGCGACGAATCTCCAACATTGTAGTCGACATCCTCTTCCGTCGCGAAATTAACCAACATTTTCGAACTACGTGTACGGAGATGTCTAGTGAGAGGATCACCAAAAAAAAAACATGGAATTCCTCGAAATCGGGGAGGTCGATAACAATCAAGAGTCAAGACAATAGCCATTGTACAAAAATAAGAACATGATATTGTCTGAGATAGCATTCTTAATTTCTAATCGTTGAATTTCTGGAATTAATTTAATTTTACACTTCTTCCAATTATAACAAATGGCTTAATGCTGTCGTTTTGCAGCCAGGAACCTATTCAACAAAGCTAAAGCTCGGCGCGGTTGATATTCAGGAACTTGGTGACCAGCTTCTCGAACTGTTGCAAACGTTAGGCCATCATATGTCACCTCGTATCCCGCAACCTGAAAATTTTTTCCAAACCATTTCTTCACTCAGCTCATAAAACTTAAAAAGTCAATTTAGCAATCTGAACATGAAAAGGCCGTCAAAAGATATTCTGTGACACTTTTTGTGTGACGTTCTTTGTGTTAATTTCTAAATGAAAAAACGTCACACGAAAAAAATGAATATATCATCACCTCTAGCTAGAAAACTTACATCATAGGACTCATCGAGCCACGGACGCCATGGTTTGATCACTTTCATTTTCATAGCTTCGATAGAATAGCGAGTGCTAGTTACCGAAACTATGACATCCACATCTCCACTGCCAAAATGATCATTAGAATTAAGCCTCAAATGTGGTATCTAACAAGATAAAACGTTAACACTTTTTTAAGCTGGAGAGACCCACAGAGATGATCACCTGAATTGCAGTATTCGAAGACCTGATGCGGCAAGCCGCTTATATACAGGAAACATTGATGAAGGGCTGTCCTGCCAATCGTTGATTATGTCACTAACATCACGAAAAAAAGAAAAATGAAAGATCATTAGTAAAAAAAACCACTGAATATATTTCAGAGAAGTGAAATGAGATGATAATATTCAGTATTCAGCATTCACCTGCAGAGTTGCCAAGAAGGAGGCAAATTGGTTTGATTGGCATGCAATGCTTCCTGAACTTGAGGAAGATTGAGGTAAGTGACAACATAATCTCCTTCACATGGATAATACCCAACAAGAAGCTTAGTCTTTTGTGCACTCACAGTATCAGAGGGTGAACACAAAGGACCATATATATTTGACATGTCAATGTCTCCAAATTCTAGCTTCCCTGCATCTTCAACTTGTTCACAAACTTTGGTTTCCACCATACAAGTATCTCTAAGCCTCTGATACATTTCATCAGAAATGAGGGCATGGGTCCATAGGAAATCATATGTTCCCTTTGCATCTATTTCATCATTCAGCACCCCATTCCCTATCTGCAAAAATCACAAATAAAAATTAGTACTTAAGGGGCCTGAGAATGAAGAAAGTGGTTGAGATCCTAAAATTTGAGTGAAATTTCATTTTGCTGTAACAGAAAACCGACTAGTATGAAAAAGTGGTTTGCTTTTTTGTAAAGCTTTTAACGAATAAAAATCTGTATCTGAAAGTGATTACAAAAGGCCAAAACAGAGAACAGATTTTATGTGATGGTGTTGCATCACCAAAAAATGGTGTCCTGCTGGAACCCATGCAATAATTTAGAGGGATTATCTCTCACCATGATTCCTTTCAGCTGGATCTTTGTTGCTGATCCCACCATTGCATTCTTTTTGATGATGATGTCTGCAAGCTGAGGAACATAATGACCTGCGACAGTTTTTGGACTGAGCTGCTTAGATTAAAAGAAAATGCACTTGACCAAAATGCAAATCTTGATGGGGCTATTTAGAATTTATTAATTTAAGACAATATTACAAAGAAAGGACCCGGAATATTTGAGAAAACTGTACCTGCATAGCTTTCTCCCATGATGTAGAAATCACGAGCCTTATAATGGGGGAATCTTTTAAACCAATTAACCAAAAAGGTATATGCATCTTCAGCTGCAATCACAAAACAGAATAAAACATCTCAGACTTTTCAAAAAAACAAAGTCAATTCCAATTATTTTAAAACCATGGGTAAAAGGTGCTTAATTACCCGTTCTTTTATCCCCTGCAATTTTGTAGTCGGAAGTAGTATTAGAGTAAGAAAAACCAACACCAGCTGGAGACTCCAGGAAGAGTGTGTTTGCAGCTGCATCAGGAGGATTAAAGGCAGTATTACTACAACACTTGCATAAAGCAGAAAAAAACAGAGCAGATTTCTCAACTTGATCACACATGACAGGTTGTCTTAATCAGAAGTTACCTCTGTTCCATGCATATTCTCTCAAGTAGAGAGTTTTTCCATCAGGGTTAACACCAAAAGGTCCTAATTCGATCATGGCGCCATAACCCAGTGATGAACAACCAGGCCCTGTGCAAAACATGCTCTGCTTTTCTTAGTACAAAGTTTGCCAAAAACATTTTAAAAAAAAAAAAAAATCTCAAATAAAAAGATAAAATTTGTATAGTTTGTCAGAAAATTAGGTTCATGTACCTACAAAAAAGCGAAAAAAAGATGTTCATAACAGGTTAATAACAAGAACATGATTTATCTCTGACCTCCATTTAGCCAGAGAAGAAGAGGCTTGGCATGTGGATCCTCAGCTGCCTCAGCAAAATAGTAGAAAAGGCTTCTTCCACTGGCTTTGTCAACGTCAACATATCCGGCATACTGCTTAAATGTCACCCCAGCTGGTTGCCCAGGAAGGCCATTCCTGATCAGGTCATCTTCCATCTTTCCACCATCAAAAAATGTTGTTTTTGTTCCATCTTCCAAGCTCATTAATGTCTCAAATGTCAAGTCCATATCTTTAATAGTGTTCCGGGCGACCCTCTTCGCCCGGCGAAAGGACATTAGTGAACCAGCCTGGTCCTTCCCAAAGCTTTGAACAAGGCCAGGGAAGATCAACAGAACATGAACAAAGAAGTTGAGCATTATGGAGTAAAAAACTCTTCTTTCCTCCATTGATGATGGAACGGAGGAGGAACTTCAAAAAAAAATTAGAAAATGACTCTGTTTTGGCAATGGTTTTGAAAGTTGGACGATATATATATATAGAATGGAAGGGGTAAAAAAGTACAGGAAGTATCCCAGTTCAAATTCCTAGAAGATGGGAAAAAAAAAACAGCCATTTAGCTTAATTTATTTACTGAACTATGAATTGAGCCATGATCAGGGATACATTCGGATTCGACCCTCAACATGACATTTAAACAGTGGGAATTTGATAGTACATTATTCGAATCATCATTATGGAGGATCAATTTGTCTTGCACGCAATAAACTTGCAGCCATGCCACTGTTATTAGTTAGTTTAGCGCCGAGAGCCTGACCTTTTGTCAATAAGAAAGGAAAATGCTTTCCAGTATAAGATTCCAATTCCATTATTTGATGGTCATGGTCTCGCTAACTGATGGGTTGATGGCTTTTACTCCTATTTTTATTGGTGAATAAATCATTAAAGCCAACAAAAAAAAAGAAAATGTTCAAGTTGCAACAACATTTTCAGTTCCCTCCGATCCAGGTCGGGAACCATAAAAGTTATGGGCGGTTTATGTTGTATCAGTGTACGTAAATTCGAGAAAGCCCAAATCAGTAGTTAATGTTAACGAAGGTGCAGTTTTTCAGCAAACATTGTAATCTGATTCTGACCCCGACACAGTTGTTGCTGAGATTGAAAGTTAGGAATCTCTTTTATTCACTGATTCAGTGATTCTGTTCCTGAGACCCTGTGATTGGGATTCCAGACTTGGAGTTCGTGCTGCAGTAACTATCTTGAAACTTGATATTCTAGGTTAATGTTTTCGGGGAGGAAACTATTATCCAGAATGGCCGATTACATGTCCAATAGAAAACCGTAATAATTCACCTCGAGAAAGAGATGGGAATCCATTTGCAGAATTAGCCAATGGGCAATTTGGAAGCAATGGCTCACTTTCTCTGGCCCATCGAAGGCTTTTTCCATGTCCTTTTCAGAACATAATTGAGCTTTATTTTATCATATAACCTATCGCAATTCTCACAACTGGTTCCAGTCGTGTTTTCAGTTTCAGTGTTCTTCAGGAATCAGGACCCATAGGCAGCAGAATAAAGGTCCAATTACTGCTGATAGGGACGTCACTAAAATGCCAAAGATGTCTATTTCCAGAGCCTCCCCAGTACTCAATCGCCTAAGCCATATGAGGCGGGTGCGTTGTTCCTACTTCCATCCTAAGATTAGGTTCAGTCGGAGACTTCTGCACCGTAACCAAGAACAGCATTCTTTTACTACTCTAGGCATAAGAGCTGAAGAACTTGCTGCTTCACTTTCTCGATCCCACCAACTGGGGTTTCAGCTTGTGGACTATTCAGACGATTGGGATGTGAGCTTCAGATCACAATGGTTTTAGGGCAATCTCTTGGCTTCCGGCCATCAACTACTGTGACAGAATCAACCTAATTGCATAAAACATAATCAGTTGTAACAATCTCTCCCCTCTAAAGGCTCATTCTTTCAATAGTATTTCAAGTCAAAATCCTGATGTCTATAAATATAAATCCAAATCAACTACAAAATTCATCGTATTACAGGCTGTAGTGTCTAGGTTGAGGAAACAATTTCCCTCGCTGTGATGTCTTTTATGACTAATCCGTGTGGTACATTGCAGCAAAGTTTAGTTAACTGGCTGCTGGTAGCCTCCGTGACCATTAGCTGCTGCGGCAGCATACATGTTCCTATCCTGGTTTTGTTGCATGGGGTACCCATATCCATTCTGGCCGTGCCTGCCGTAAGGTCCATTCCACTGGTAGCCTGAGTCCATTTTAAACTGCCGGAACACAAGGAAAATCAGACAATGAAGCATACAGAGATGCAAGCACTAGTAGAACAACCACAATGCTATGTATTGACAACACACAACCCCCAAACAAACAACCACAGAAAAATTCATTATACTTTCCTTCTTAGTGTATGATATACACTCACAAGTAAAAACACCCAGCTTCATGAAGTTAAATGATATTCCAAAGTCACAGCAAAGTTCACCAGAAGACATCGTACCTGCTTGTTTACAGGATTCCGGCCCCAAGACAACCGCACTGTCTGTTTTCCAATAGTAGCTCCATTAAGTCTCTGCATCGCATCCTCTGCGTTGCTTCTGTTGATGGAAGTAAGCTACTTTAAGTCAACCAGCAACAATTTGATAGAAGAAATCAAATGCGTAAAAGATCTTTCTAATTAACAACTAATGAGCAAAATCACGTTTGAATGGTCATTTTCCTCAGTGGTCCAGTTATTACACTTCAGGCAGGAAAGGAGCATAAGCATTATCATCATATATACTAGTCACAGGTGAACTGAATATCGACACATGCACAAAAATCAAGGAAAATAAAAGAACTACCTATTGGCGAATTGTACAAAACCGCAGCCCTTCCCAGAAGGTATTTTCACAGAAAGCACTTCGCCATATTGACTGAAGGACTCTCGCAATTCTTCATCAGTAACCTCGGAATCAAGACCGCCCACGAAAATCTAAGATCATCTTCGGTTAGTTACAGAGAAGAGGGTCTTTTTTCCTTTCAAAATAATATCCAGAAAATTCAACTCACTGTTGTATTCGACGAATCACTGTCAGACTGCGAACCATGTGGCACACCATTTGATGGATAACCTCCAGCTAAAACTACAGCTAGAAGAATACACCACTATTTAGTGTTTTAAGGGTACAAGGTTCTTATACATGAGCAAACCAAATTTATTACGACTCGTAAATCTGATCAAATGATATCTTGTTTTCAGAACGATCAATTCAGACCAAGAATTACTTATAAATCTGATCAATACAAATAGGTAAACCAAAAAGACAAAAAGAAAGTGTCCCAAATGATAATATGTTTGCGACAAAGAGATTAGCTTCAGTCTTGACATGAAACAGTGTAATAATCTGTGTGCAGGAATTTATACATAGGCATATAACACATATACACGCACCTGCACACATACATAAAATAAGCATGCAAACAAGCATAGACAGAACAGCACCAAAAAGAAAGGGAAGAAAAGTTCAGAGAACACAAGTCAAACAGACAAAATGCTCCAGGAGAGGTGAGAGACGACAAAGACGAAGGAAGCACATTCTAGCACCTTGAGAAGAATACTGCGGCTGTGTTGAAGCCTTCTTCGGAGTAGCGACACCAATCCTCATTGGCCTACTGGAACAATATGCGCCATTCATCTCAGTCATAGCCTGGGTTCTCTCATTTTCATCTCCAAACCTAACAAAACCATATCCCTTCGAACGGCCAGTGTTTGGATCAACTACTACTTTTGCACCTTTAACAGATGGATATTTACTTGCAAAGGTTTCATGCAATAGAGTATCCGTAACATCAGAAGCCAAGTCTCCCACAAAAATTGACAGATCAGAACCAGCGCCTACACCAGCGCCAGCACCAGCACCACCACCACCAGCAGCAGCTTCAGGTCGTCTATTACCCATGCTAAAGGCTGCCCAGTTAAGGCGGAAGACTTGGTCTGAATTTGGCATAGATGAACCATTGAATCCCTGCAGGACCTTGTCAGCAGCTGCATGAGAACCGAATTCAACAAATCCATATCGCTCTGACTGACCGGTCTGCTTATTCCGAATGACTTTGACAGAGATAACCTGGGGGCATTTCAATATGAAAATTCCATATCAAATTTATAGGGGCTATAAAAATTCTAAGGAAAAGTGACTAATCCTTCGTGGTGCCTCATGATAAACGAACAAGTGTAACTCTTACAATTGAAACTATCTAGCCCTTCCACCAAAAAGAATTATGTGTAATAGCCATTCAACATGAGTAGATAAAACATTAATCACCATTCTAGAAAAAAAATATATAAGGTTCTGTGCCATCATCCTTTTTAAATTAACCACTCATGATTTTTACTTTATTTCATAATTTTATTAAAAAAAAAAAAATTCTTCGTAATTAGAGAACCTATTTTCATAACCTTGTGTGTGACAATACATAGCTTTATCAAAAGAAAGGAGTTTTCAAAATGTATAGTGTAGGACAATTCATAAAAAGTTTATTAGCTTTAAATCTACTAAAGTCCACTAATATGCATGACGTACACAGGCTGTTACAAGTTGATCCAAAACACATTTAAACCGTCATGGATAAAAAGGCTGAGCTAGTGAACGCAACACAGAACAAAGAATCATCAATATCACATAAAGTTACCCATCAGAAAATACTAAACAAATTTGGCATATGGCATGACAGTGAGGTCTTCAGAGATGTTTTCCTTCCCAATATGATCCTTACAAAATAATTCCATGCAAAAGGGACAGGTGTTTAACCAAAACCTTGTGCTTTTTTATATTCCCTAAATGAATATATTTCCCAAATGCACTAAACCAGAGTGCAAACCAAGTGTCCCCAAATTCTTCATAAGCCAGCTTTACTGAATTGTAATCCTACTTGTGGATTTAGATCTCAATAAGGAGGGGAACAACTCTCAGCATATGCTTTCATAGTATATGCCATCCATTCCTTCATATGTTTTGTTTCTGCTCGCATTAACAGATTCCGGAAATAAAACGATCAGAAAATCCTAACAAATGTCTGATCCACTAAACCCATAATCTGAATTCCCAAATGTTAGGGGAGAAGCCAATTGTTCTACAATTGGCTTTCCTTCTATAAACAAGGAACATGGGTATAGCTTCAATGAGGAAAGATCAAGACTTTCATCTTATAATAAATAAGATTCAGATTCCAAACTATATACTTGAATCTTGCCAAATCACAAATGATATATGCAACAACCATACAGCAATTTGTACGTAAATCAAACAACACGTAACTCGGATGATTAAATACGTTGAGTACAAATGCTGCACAGATGGGGAAGTAATGACGAAACACTGACCTCAGAAGATTGGGCGAAGCAAGTCTGAAGATAACTCTCGTCCATCCAGGGCTGGAGATCTCCAATCCAGATCGTACGGTTCTCCTCGCTGGGAACCTGCATCTGACCCTGTTTATGCTGTTGTTGCTGTTGGTGGTGCTGCTGTTGTTGTTGCTGGTACAGCTGATGCTGCTGGTGATGCTGCTGCTGTTGGTGGTGGTAGTAAGCCGCCGCCGGCACGTACTGACCGCCGCCGTACATCATCTGCTGCTGCATCACCATGGCGGCGGCGGGATACTGCATGTGCATAGACATCCATTGCTGCTGCTGGTATTGCTGCATCGCCAGCCATTGCTGGTGGTGGTGTTGAGGATGCGGAGGTTGCGGCTGAGGAGGCTGCGCCGGCACTTGCTGCGGCGGTTGTTGTGGTTGTTGTTGTTGAGACAAATCTCCGCCGTTGTTCATCTTTTCCAAAGACTCTGTTTTTTTCCTTCTTCCTTCCAACCCAATTAACCCCTTTTTCCCAAACTACTCCTTCTCTCTCCCTTCTTCGAGAATTCGGTAGTGAGTATAAATTAAGAAATTTTTTCTTGGGGTTGGCCGGAGTTGGGAGGGGGTGAAAATGGGTAGTTCCGGCGAGCTGGAAAGTTAAGAAGAAGGGAGAAAAAAGAGAAAGGGAGGAAGACGGCTTAAGGCAGGGACTAAAAAGGGTAATGTACGATGGTTTGGATCTAGGGCGTACTAGTGTGGGTTAACATTGTTAGTAACGAAGTCGAATCTAGGCCGTTGGATCTGGGGTGATGGATGCATGACGACCGTCGAATCTAATCTATTGGAAATGGTGCGGGGCCCAGTTTGGGGGGGGAGTAGATACGCGGTGAGGGAACGTGGGTCCCCATCCCTGAGTGAATTGTGTTCTTCTTAACTTTCAAGTCAAATTTATTTTAATTTTTTTGGATCTGAGGTTTTTGAGGGGTTCGGCTAATGATGTGTTTTTCAGCTTTGACTCACTCGCGGAAGGAGGAAAATGGAAATAATCAAAAATTGCGTAGGCTGGTGGCCCGTGGCGACGGTGGTTGGTGGCGGAACCGGTGGTGGTCAGCCGCCCTCCTCCCGGCGGCTGGCTGTTGGTTGTTTTAATTAGACTTGGTCTTCTTCTATATAACTTGGGCACAGACAACATTTCTATTGTCTCCCCCTATGTATTTGTTTTGTTTTGTTTATAGTACTATGTTAGCTACTTATTATAGCGTAACTAACTCTATATCTATTTTTCTATTTTTGATGAGAATTTAAGTTAGGGAGAAATGTTTATACATTTTTTAATGCTTCATTTTAGAGTTACTATTATCTCATCGTGTGCTATTTTAAATTTGTGATAATTATAGTCAACAGATTCGATTTCAATTAATGTAACGATCTATCGATGTAACGTATGTTGAGAATAAATGCATGTCAAATTTTGTTTTTTTGCTAATGAAATGTGTCTAGTGTCATTTTGGATAGATTGAGAATAAGGAGTGCGTGTAATTTTAGCATGGTCTCAAATCGGAACCAACTTAATGATTAATAATGATTCTGGTTAGACTCACAAGATTTTAATTTAACTGTCATTAGAATCGTCTTTGACTTTTTTTTGGAGAGGGGGACAATATACAGATCATCAGGGATCGAGGACGTTAGAGATGCGTGAAGTAGTTATAGATTGAGAGTGTTTGACAAAATATCTTACCGCGCTAACAACTTTAATCCAAATTGATTCCCCGACTTACTTTTGTCATACGAAACACACTCCCTCCTTAACATCATGACATAATAAACTGTCACTGCTTTTTTTGTGTTTTTCCTACATTTATACACAAGTTCACGCAATTGGTCGACGACTTATTTCCTAGTAGTATAATTGGTGCTTTATTTCCACGAGATTCTGTAAGCAGTAGTAAGAATTTTGCCATGCAAATTAATAGAGTCTAATGCAACTACTTTGGTGAACTATTTTTAATACAAGGAAAAATGTTGTATTTTTTTAAAATGGGACGAGTTGAGTAAAAGAGGAATTATTGAGGCAGCTTGTGTCATTTTGTACCATACCACCTCCATTTATTTATGTTCCCATCAATTCCAAGTGTCTTTTTCTCAAAAGGGCAAAAAAAAAAAAAAAAAAAACAACAACTGTATTGCGTGCATGAACAGAGAAATAAAGGTCGGCAACAACATTTTTAACCGAAAGCGTTTTTGGCGATATGCTTTTTTGACCAAGTTACATTCAACCCTCAATAGCTCTCTATCTATATATATGGACATTTTGACTTCTTCGTTTCACATTGGTAAAAGTGTTAGTGGAGTTTATCATCATCTTCATCTGCCCCGTTATTTTTGCTTACACTGTGTCCCCTTCTTAACAAGTTGAGCATAAAAACAAACCAAATCCACTGGAAACAAATGGTAGATTTTCTCAGTTTTTCCCAAAATTCAAACAAGATGTGCTTTTCATCTTTTTTCAGAAACCGTGTTCAAACTTCAAAGGGGTATATGCTCAAATGGCTATGCTACACATTTCTGGACATGAAAACTAGTAACTCTCAAAATGGCAAGAAAATTATAACTACAACACAGTTTTCTCAGAAGAAAATAACATTGTCCACTTTGGATGTCAGTTTCTTTTCTCTCTCTCTCTCTCTCTCTCTCTATGATGTGGTTACAGACTTATAGGACAGCAGATGTGGTAAGCTACGGGCTGTGGCTCAAAATTTGAACAGGGAGTTGTTTCCCCGGCGGTTAGCTGCTACTGCTAACACAAATAAACGAATGGAATACGATTCAAGAAAAAAAAAAATTAACACAGCATATTTACAGAAAGCTATGAACATTCTACATCTCGTAATCTGACCGTAAGAAGCTCTCGTAAGGTGTTCCCTTGAGTGTCTTTTCAATGTCTGCCCAGTTCTCGACCTGAGAAGACAAGGAACCCCTGTGTATTTTCACCTGACGACTACTTAATTCCATGCGCGGAACCTTGAGAAAGTCTTGAACATCTAACAATTTCTGCACAGAAAAATTCTACATTAGCTTTCAACAATGACAAATCCAAGGCGAGAGTGGATAGATAGATGTCTCACAGTTCGGTTTTTTATTATGTCCTCATAATAGAGGACAATATGTCTAGTGCTCTTGAAGTATCCTAAAGCTTCAGTAACCATCTGTTCTACTTGCTTCAGGCTGGGTATCAGCATTGTGGCATTAATAGTAGGCTTGTATTTTGCCAGTATCTCAGCCTGCAACGAATTTTACTTATCCACATCAGATTGCTGGGTGCCCAAAAATATCTGCGAACTTATGGCTCATGACAACTGAGCATACCGACATGATATGTGCATCAAAGTAAATATTGCGCTTAAGTGTGAGCATGTGTGTGTGTGAGCGTGAGAGAGAGAGAGAGAGAGAGAGAGAGAGAGAGAGAGACCTCATGCGATGAATGCACGTGTGATTTGTGTGTGCCATTCAGCAGCTTGGCGTTTTGATCGAATGAATTTGCAAGAATTGAGATCATCCTTCGCAAAAGATTTCTTCTGAAGAGGAAAATCAAGGAAACTCCTCTTCTATTGAAATACTCCAATATTTGGTCATGATGCTGAATCAGACCCTGCGACAACCCCAAACGGTAAGAAACAACAACAATTGCCGAGACCTGCTCTATGTGAGCAAGGGCCGCCAGGTATTTAAATTTATTCACTTTTCTAAAGCTTCGATCAGATTTTGAAACAATACTAAACCTCCTTTGTCCTTCCCATCAAAATGGCTAAAGAAAAGACACAATTAGATTGATCCTAAATGATAATTTCTCACTAGGCCTAGTTGAATGCGAAAACTTGTTTCAGCCAAAGCAACTTGGTTTCTTCCTACTAATCCACTTGCAATGGGAAACTTAGGGATATCACTAATGCTCTTAACAAAAATCAACTCAGAATGTATTAAGATTTGAGATCAATAACCACAGAACTAAAGCAAATAATGGCATGCACAATACCAGAAATCTAAAATTGCATAAAGTCAAACAACATGAAGATTGCAGTATCTAGGCATGCAGGGAACCAAACCAACTTCCTAAAGGTCCGGCAAGTTCCACACTCTTAAGTAAACGCAATGGAGAAATCAAGTTCTTAGGACTGCATAAGCCCCTCAGCAACTTGTCAAATTAGAGACCTAGGTCCTACTCCAAACTTGTGTAGGAGCATTGAGCTAATTGTTTCATATAGCAGTCCCCTAAGCAGAGTGTCACAACTCACAACCATTATTTGGTTTAACATCTCGGTAAATATAGTCAACTGAGTACTAACACCATGGAAATTAATCAATTAACATATGGTTTTAGGCAGTTGCTGGGCAATTACGAGTTTATTCTTCAAATAAAAGGTAAACCAACAGATTGCCAAAAGCCTAAGTTAGTTCTTATTTTAATTAAGCACATATTGAAGTCTAATTGACTAATATTCAACAGCCAAAATAACTAGAAACACTGGGAAAGAGCTTGAAAGAGGAAGATTACAATGAAAAAACTATGTAGACATAATGAAGAATAACACTCCAGTCTACATGACATTTTGGCATTCTAGAGTTATAGGCTGGCAACTCTCTATTTCTTTAAAATACCCATTTCAGGGCCTATGCTGCTCTAATGATCACCCAAATGATCTACTATAGATAGATATTAGCTTAAAACTGCAGGGTCTTAACAGCCGAATGACCCAACCACATTAACTAACCAGTTTGATATCTATTCCACACATGAATCCATCTAACAACAAGATGAAGCAAACAGCCGACGACAAACAGCTTCCTTCTTAAGTAGGCATATCAAGACTCTGACTACTTATGTCAATGATCAACAGTAAATAAACAGACTCAAGTGCCAGCAAATGAAACATTGATGTAACTAGAATTCTTATCCTACAAAAATTTGAATGCCAACCAAATACAAGATAAAATGTCAAGTCTTTCAGAGTTTACTAACTTGATTAAGCATCCACTTCAATCCAACAGCAGCAGTGCACTCGTTCTTGGAAGCACTAGTGTTAATATCTAGATTGTAGAGTTTATCCAAAGTCTCAACAATTGTTGAAATATTGGATTTTCTCACTTTAACTGAGAAAATCTCCCCGTTAGAGCTAATGTTGATATGACTGTTCAGCAATGTTTCAAACCATCCACTCCCTGATCTCTGTGTTGATAAAATTGCAAAAAAACGCACAGGGTTGCAAGCGCACTCGGCCCTGTTTATCCACAAAATAATTTTTACTAAATGAGCAACTACCATCCAGGCAAAAGAAAAAAAAAATGCATTAGTCGAAGGCCTTGCCTGTTAAAAGTTTCAGGTTTTGGGAAGTGTATGAAACGTCTTTCTGAAGGCTCGACATAGGGTTTTTCACATGGCCTCACCACTTGGACATTTAATAGGCGTCCTGCAGAGTTGGCACTACTCTGCTTAAGACATATAGAACATATATAAACTCCACACACCATTGAAAATGTCAATACCACCATTCTCAATAACAATGGAGAGTTCCTGGGAGGCTTAAGCAAGGCATCCTGATGCATAAGAAAACAACAAAAGCCGATATGTCAGTTTTTTAAGATATAAAAACTAAACAAATAAGATACTTTGTTGGCTCCTGAGCTAAAAGTCTTTTTTTGACAATGAAAATAAAAAAATAAAAAAATAAAAAAACTAAAAACCAAAAGAACCAAGAACCACCAAGTTTGCCTGAGTCTGCCCAGTAAAGTTACAACGGAAGGCAAAACAAATTTCCCATGAAAATCCCTCCACCTCTCTATTTAATGATAATGTTGGTTCAAACTTATGTCACATTTTGCATCAAATATGAGGAAGAAAATAACAACAAAATTAGCAACCAAAAGAAAAAAGGCAAAAAGACTAGTCCATTTTTCAAACTTTTTTGAGGACAATGCAGGCCTAATATGAGGGCTACAACTTTAACAAGCAATAGTCAATCACAGCAGGCAAGATAGTTATTTTTCCCTCCCGGAGCCATCCAATTAAGCAGAAAACAAACTTTGCCGACAAAGATACTGTAAAGAGGTAAGATTAAAAAAACGCGAGACCCAGAACAGAACGAACCTTGACGTAGGAGTAGACGTCGTCAGCCATATTCGGCGGCACAAAAAGGGACGGCGAAAAAGGAAGAGGGATTTTTTTTGGTGAGCAGCTCAGATTTCAAGTAGTAATTTCTTTCGCCCCTTCTTTTCTTCTTCGCTTTACTCATCCTACGGCGGAGTGCTGGTGTCCCATGTACCCATGCATTTGCCGAAAACAACAACAATAAATAACCCCAAAAATATTAAATTAAGTGAAAAAGTTTCGAGCTTTTGCTTTTCCTCGTGACGAGCAAACAACAATATGATGACAGAGAGGTGATTAATGGCCAGCAAAAAAAAAAGGAAAAAAAAGATGCTTCTCTCTCCCTCCCCTTTTTCTTCTTTGCTTCAGATTCACATCACATTACAGAAAAAAGAAAAAAACAGAGTAAAATTTGTCTGTATAATTGTATTGTACCTCCAGTTCCCCCCTTTCCTCTCTGTCCCTTTTTCCTCCCTTTCTCTCAGTGTCTTTCAGTGTTTGACCATGTGGGATTCTTCAGTATTCGTCGCAGATATGGAGGGGAATCTGGTTTGCTATTTTTGTTCGCTTCGATTCGTATCCAAGTGACTACGAGAATTATGAAACAACTTTTTTTTTTTTTTTTGAAAAAGAAAAATTTGTTATTTGGGATTGAGAACGTTTAGAAAAAAGGAGCTGCAGCTTCAATTAAACTTTTCAAAATAATTGGAGAAATTTGGGGAAACGGAGGCCCAACTAAAGAATTGAAATTAAATTTTGACTGTTGGACAGAAGAAGCCAGACGCTTTGAAACGGTGTCGTCGCCTTGACATTTTCGGATTTGTCAAAATTTTTGGAACCGTGAGAGTGGAACATCAAACATTTATTGCGTAGAGGGGGGGACTTTGGAGTTCGGCCTTTAAAAAACTAAAAAATTTGTCCCTTTAATATGAAGGAAAATTGTCCCTTTGATATGAAAATAAAAGAAAACTAAGATTTAAAAAGGTTTATCAGCATGTATAAAAATTAATAAAAATGTGATAAATGTGGAATCAAATTTGTAGTTTAAGTGATAACATTAAGTAATGAGAATAGTGAATACTTTGGTGGAAGATGAAAACATACGTATTACTCCCTTCGGTCCTTAATGTAAGACATTTTGATTTGTTTTAAGTTTCATCTATTATGTATTTTTAATTGACAACAAACCTGAAAAATACTCCCTAACAGTCAAAAGAACACAATGAATTGAAAATATATTTTTAAGGATTTTTTCAATAAAAAGTACATACTAAAACCATTGGACAAATCAAAATATCTTATATATTAAAGAACGGAGAGAGTGTCATTAATCAACTAGTGACGCACATATTAGCAATGCATCATTGTTATTGTTACAACTTACAAGATCAAGTACAAATTTTCTTGGATAATCCATTTATATGTGTGTGTGTATTCTAAAAATCAAATCCGACCTAAATTTTCATCTTTAGATCCATGAAAAAAAAAAAGCATTTTTATTAATACTCTTTGCTTCGAAACTCAGCATAAATGGCGTTAGTACTGACCACTTGACCCGTGATTCGTTCAATTACTTTCTTTTGCCAAATTTTGGAGATTTTATTAGTTATACATAAATTGATTACCTGAATTCGTACGAAACGTAAGTAATGATGTAAATTTTCGAAATGAAGTGGATTAGCATTTCTTGTAGATTGGAACTCATGATTTCTGCAAATGCACGTTACGGTTGCCATCGTACTGTAGATTTCATTGCACTTATATGGTTAAAATTGACATTGTGTTAGAGAATACACTTATTAGTCAATAATTTTTATTGCATCGCATTTTAATGAACTATTGTACTCCTCTAGTCATAAGGTATTTTAATTTGGCATAGGTTTGATTCGTGGTGTTATTCCATTTGAAAATAAAATTTTAAAAATACATTTTCACATTTATTGTATTCTCTTAATTATTATAAAGTATTTTTACGATTCTTTAAATTAAAAAACACAATAAATAAAATTTAAGATAAATCAAAATACTTTACAATAAAGACTTACTACTGTTAGTAGTATAAAAATAAATTATTAAAATTTTATATATGAATGGAATAATCGATGATGTTCCTTACACTAGAATAAGAGAAGAAAACACACAATATTACATGTAAGATATAGTATTAAGGACTTCAAATATAACATACACGGCAAAGTGGAAGGAAAAAAAAAAAGACTTGTGAGTAGTATAATAATACTCATTTTTATTGTTATCGTGATCTACGGCCATTTTAAGATTGTGTTGGCAGTGAGTTAAAGACTTTTTGTTTGTATATTTTTTCAAAAGAAAAATGTTTTGTAATTGATAAAACAAACTACCAAATAAATAAAACCTCCATTTCCTCATTCTCATCGAACCTTTCATTTGTTTGATTACGCCATACATTGCTATGCTAGCCATGAATCATGATTGTAACTATAGTAAGGCAATAGATAACATTAATATATATATATATATAATTATATATATGTATATGTGATTATAGTAGATCAAGTGATTATCTAATTCACTCGATAAAGATACTTTTAAGTCTCCAATATTAATAAGCAGTTGAATAATCCACTATGAATCCGTCACTTGATACACGTCTCAACCTTCACCCGCCAATATCTCAAAGCTTCTCCATCTTGTTAGCTTTTATTATGAATGCCAAAATTTACAATATTGTGACCTACGTCCTACCCAAAGGAGCAAGGAGGAGTGAATATGAAGCATGAAACGGTTTCTTTTTGATGATTATATATGCGTTGTCAACGTTGTGGGTTTTTGCCTTGTTGTTTACGTCCATGCTCCACAACTCTCCGGAACTTGTAAATAAGTTTGTAACGTTTGTTTCCTATTTCTTTTTTTTTTTCCCTACTACGATGAATACGATGATTAACGTAATGTGTTATTGTCCTGACAGAACATCCGACAAAGACTTCCACCTTATTTTTTTCAATCGGTTTCATTGGAGACTATTGATCACGTTCCTTTCTTTACCTTTTTCTACCCAAAATGCCAAACAATGCAGGCGTTATGTTTACGTTCTCAAATGCACTCCTTATAAGGATAATTTTGATTAGTCAACAACAATGAGGTTTTATTTCTATAGCTGAATTATTATAATTATTTGAGAAAATATATACCGTTTCTTATGTGTTGAGGAGAACTTGCTGGATACGATGGGTTGACATTCACACTCCAATTACGGGTTTAATTCGTGATCATCTTTAAATTTCTGGCGAGAAAATCTTTCATATAGTTGCTCTACCACGTGGGATTGTGCACCCAGACACATGAATAATTTTATGAAAAAATTACTATAAAATTAGGGACACTTCTTGTATGGAATAATATTTCGTCTCTGGCAAGTTTTTTTTTTTATTATTATATAAATCTTTAGATGAATATTGGGATTGTTTAATAAGGGTTGTAATTAAAGGTCAATAATCCCAATGTTTTCGAGTCGGAAATCGATTTGTTGTCCACCAATAAGAGATTGTTTGATTCAACTATGTTATTGTTGGGGTATCTTATTTCTCAACCATAGTTCACTCACTCAAATGAACGCCTTCTTTGTGTATCGGAAAAGGCAAAATATTAAGAAAAACGAATAACAACAAAATCTAAAAAAGGGAAAATTTAGACTCAAGAAAATGAAAAAAAAGATGTTATTGTTAAAATCTGTGACCTGATGATTTACTTATATATGTAACTGCTTTGACTGCAGATTTCCCCTGTTCATATTTATAAAATCAGGTAGACCACAGAATAGAAGTCACATCAGATAATAATTAATAAGTTGCCTATCAACACTCAACAACAATCTTTCACTTAAAAATCTTTGACACAAAATTCACTCAAAATTCTCTGCTTCGCCCTCCACCGCACCCTCATCATCTTTCACTTAGAAATGGAATCCATCTCAATTCCCAGGGCCGATCCCGCCGACATAGCCCACGATTTCTTCCCTTTCCTTCGCGTTTACAAAGACGGCCGCGTCGATAAATTCCTCCACACCCCACTTGTCCCTCCCTCCGACGATCCCAACACCACCGGTGCCTTGTCGAAAGACGTCTTCATTTCTCCGGAAAACAAGGTTGGTGCCCGGCTGTTTCTCCCCAAGACGGTCAAACCGGACGAGAGACTCCCGGTCCTCGTTTACTTCCACGGTGGTGCTTTTGTCATTGAATCCGCCTTCTCTGCCCAATACACCGCCTACCTGAACTCCGTCGTCGCTGAGGCCAACGTGATCGCCGTCTCCGTCGAGTACAGGTTGGCTCCGGAGCACAAAGTCCCTGCTTGCTACGAGGATTCTTGGGCGGTTACCAAGTGGGTCGAATCCCACTCCGGTAAACAAGGACCCGACCCATGGCTCAATGACCACGCCGACTTCGGTAGGGTTTTCTTCGCCGGAGATAGCGCCGGAGCTAATATTGCCCACAACATGGCTGTCAGAGCAAGTAATGCTGAAGAAGGTGGGATTAAGCCTTTGGGGTTGATTTTAGCACATCCCTTTTTCGGCAACGGGAAGCCGGACAAGCTGTGGCAGTTTATTTGTTCGGATTTCAATGGGTGGGAAGACCTGAGGTTGAATCCTATGGCTCATCCGAATGTGCTGGCGGGACTGGTTTGCAAGAAGGTTTTGATTGTATTAGGGGAGACAGATTTCATAAGAGACAGGGGTGTGCTTTATCATGAAGCCCTGAAGAAGAGCGGATGGAATGGCGAATTGGAAGTAGTGGATTTCGAGAAGGAAGGACATGTTTTTCATTTGCTCAATCAAGCGTGTGAGAATGCCGGAATTTTGATGAAAAAGGTTGTTTCTTTCCTCTCTGTGTGATCGATCATCCCCTGCCTGTATCACTGAAGTGGAGCTTATAGCCTTATTATAGTTTTGTTTAATAATTCGGAGGACTACAAATCAGAACCAACAGATTGCAATTTTACTTTCGCTTATACTACTTTGCATATCTAAAGCAATCAACGGAATTTTTTCAATGCAATTGCACTTTCAGCATTGCCAGTCTAATTGAGCACTTTTTCCTTGAAGTGGCTGATGCCGCCGTTCAAATGTGGTTCTCAATGATTTTACGAACTTCATGACACAAAATCACAACGTAAATGAATTTCGGCTTCAAGTTGATACGAGATGGCACTGAAAAAGAGCTCAATTAGCCTAATTCATGAATTATTAATCTAATACTCTAGCGGTTCCACCACAATTACTACTAACAATGAATTAAAATATTCAGGAATCTTTCCAACTCCCAATAGTTTAATCTATTATACAGTATATATAAAGCAGAGTAGACTAGATGCTTTTTTCTAAGCTCGTTCTTGCCGATTATCACCGACCCTTCTTCAGTTTTAACAATGGAGTCAAGTTCGACAGAGGTAGATGTGGATTTGCATCCGTATTTCCGCATATACAAGGATGGCCGGATCGAGAAATTCGCCAAATTTCCATACACCCCACCATCATCAGAACCCCAGATCGGCGTCCGATCTAAAGATATCCAAATCTCGCCTGGTCTTTCCGTCCGTCTTTATCTTCCTACAGCCATCAGCTCCGATGAAAAACTTCCCGTCATTATCTACACTCACGGCGGCGCGTTCGTGATCGAATCAGCATTCTCTCCTCTTTACCACCCCTATGTCAACTCCCTCACCGCCGAAACTAAGGCTATTGTCGTCTCCATCGAGTACAGGTTAGCGCCGGAGCATCCAATCCCGGCGTGTTATGACGATTCTTGGACGGCGTTCAAATGGGTTGCCGCACACGCAAATTCAGGAAATGGGCCTGAACCTTGGATCAATTTACACGCAGATTTCAGTAGAGTTTTTCTGGCCGGAGATAGCGCCGGAGCTAATATTGCCCACAGCACTCTGGTTCGCGCCGGTGAGACAGCTAATGAGATGTCTGTTACTGGGATGATTTTGTTCCATCCCTTTTTCAGCGATGGTAATCCCAATGAAGTTTGGACATACATAGCTCCGGACAGTATCGGCGTGGATGACCCGAGATTCAATCCAATGGCTCATCCCAATTTGTTGTCAAGTCTAAAGTGCGGCAGGGTTCTGGTTTTCACTGCTGACAAAGATGTTTTCAGGGATAGAGGATTGAATTACTATGATGCACTGAAGAGAAGTGGATGGGGTGGAGAATTGGAATTAAAGGAGACAGAAGGGGAGGGACATTGCTTCTATTTGGAAAAACCAGATTGTGAGAAAGCCCAGGTTTTGATGCAATGGGTGGTTTCGTTTATACATCAAGATCATCAGAAAGAGGTCTAAAAGAAGCTCCTAGAACGTCTGCAATCTTTTTTGGGTTAGTGAGTATTGATCCTTTTTGAATCCCGTGTCTTTGGGTTACAGAGTTGAAAATTTTATTGCTGTTGTTGCTTTATCATGTGTACGTTTAATCAATTGAAGTTGTAATAATAACTAAAGATTATTGCTGGATTCCTACTCTCTGGTAAATGAAGGAAGCGGATACCTTAACGAAGCCACTAAGATTATCAATCTGCATTTTGAAACTGTACTAGATTTACATTGCAATTTGACAAAGATATTTTGAACATGTTTGCGAAGATAATTAGGGTAAACTGAAGCCGGCATTAAACTAAGTCGTCTAAAACCCTTGTATACTTAAGATTTGTACATCGTATATATAATACAAACAACCGTAAAAGAGGTAACTATGTACCGTAATTCTAATATTACATTCACAACCCTAATACCCCACTCAAGTTGGAGCATGGGAATTCTGAATGCCCAACTTGGATAATAAAAACTCAAACTGTGTTTTGCCTAAAGCCTTCGTGAAGAGATCCGCAAGTTGCACATGAGTAGGCACATAGCTGGAAGAATAATGCCGGCGAGAATTTCATTACGGATAAAGTGACAATCGATCTCAATATGTTTTGTGCGTTCATGAAAGACAAGATTAGCCGCAATATGCAATGCAGCCTGACTATCACAATATAAATGAATTGACGAAGAATGAGAAACGCCAAGACTCAGAAGAAGTGTCTTCAACCACTTCAACTCACAAACAGTCGATGCAATGGAGTGATACTCGGCCTCAGAAGAGGAGCGAGCAACAGTCTGTTGTTTCTTAGTCTTCCAAGAAACAAGAGAAGCACCAAGAAGAATTAACCAACCAGTAAGAGACCGCCGAGTGATAGGACAACTGGCCCAATATGAATCACACCAGGTAGAGAGCCGTAAATCACAATTAGCACGAAGGAAAATACCTTGGCCAGGAGTACCCTTCAAGTACCGAACAACCCGAAGAGCAGCGTCTCAATGAGCTTGCATAGGCTTCTGCATAAACTGAGACAGAGTGTGAATAGAATAAGACAACTCATGGCGAGTTACGGCCAGATAAATCAAGCGCCCAACCAGGCGGCGATAGCGAGCAGGATCCGAAAAAACAACATCAGCAGCGGAAGCAAGATGATGATTCTGCTCAAGAGGAAACTCAACTGGTTTAGCACCCAACAAACCCACCTCTGCAATAATGTCTAGAGCAGACTTGCGCTGACAAAGAAAAATACCCGAGGAATGTCGAGCCACCTCAAGACCAAGAAAATACTTGAGTACCCCTAGATCCTTCATATGAAAACAACGATGCAAGTAGTCTTTGAAGGACTGAAGAGCGGCGGTGTCATTGCCAGAGAGAATAAGATTATCAACATAGATTAAGACATTAAGCTGCACAGCAGCTCGCGTCAAAGTAAATAAAGAATAGTCAGAGGCGGATTGTTGAAAACCATAACGACGCAGAGCACTTGCCAACTTAGCAAACCAACAGCGCGGAGCCTGACGAAGACCATAAAGGGAGCGCCGAAGACGGCACACCGTACCAGGATGAGAAGAGATAAAACCCGGCGGTAATTTCATATAAACTTCCTCTCAGAGATCACCATGTAAGAACGCATTGTGAACATCCATTTGAAGAAGCTCCCAACCTTTAGCAGCAGCAACAGCAAGAAAGGTGCGAACAGTCACCATTTTGGCGACGGGAGCAAAAGTCTCATTATAATCAAGACCTTCAATCTGATTATTACCAAGAATCACAAGACGCGCCTTATAGCGCTCAACCGAACCATCAGAGTGATATTTGATTTTGAACACCCATTTGCACCCAATAGCACGCTTCCCAGATGGAAGGGATGTCAAAGTCCAAGTGTCATTATTCTCAAGAGCATGAATCTCCTGTTGCATTGGAGTCCGCCAACGAGCATCTCGCATAGCCTCTGCGAAATTGCGTGGCTCAACACATGCGGCTACACTAGCCAGAAAAACACGATGTTGTGCAGAAAAAGAGTCACAACTCACATACTTGTGTAATGGGTAGGACATACCTGAGGAAACTGACGAAGCAGGAACTGAGAGAGGGGCCTTCGGGAAGAATAGTATGAGCCGCAAAATATCGAAGACGAGTAGAGCGGAACTTTTGACGGTGACCACGACCCAAAAGTTCTTCCGGCGGACCACTGGAATCTAAACCCCCCTGGCATCGGAGATGCCAGAAGCAGGACTAGCAGTATCAGATGACGACGAGACAATGTCCCCCGAAGAAGGAGCAGAACCAGAGTCAGTAGGAGAACAAGCCGATGGACCCAGCGGAACTGAGATGTCATCATCATCATCAGGAAAGACAGCCGATGTAGGAGGTAACAAAGTAGGCTCAGGAACAGGAGACGGGGATGAGTAAGGAAATTCAGACTCGGAAAAAACAACATCCCGAGACACAAAGAACTTCCCAGTCTCTAAATCATAAACCCACCAGCCTTTAGTGCCAAACGGATATCCAACAAAAACACACTTGCGACTAAGACTGGTAAACTTATCACCATTCCGATTCTGATTATGCACATAGCATAAGCAGCCAAACACACGCAAATGAGAAAGTGAAGGTGGTTTGCCATATAACAATTCACAGGGAGTTTTGCCATTCAAAATACTCGAGGGAGTACGATTAATCAGGTATCCAGCAACTAAGATGCATTGCCCCCAAAACTCAATAGGTAAATGGGCCTGGAAACGCAAAGTCTGAGCAACATTAAGAATATGACGATGCTTGCGTTCCATACGACCATTTTGTTGGGGAGTACCGACGCAAGAGGTTTCATGTAAAATACTATTAGCACGAAAATAGGCAGACATGCACATAAATTTGGTACCATTGTCACTACGAACAGTCTTAACCAACTTGGTAAATTGGCGAGCAACCATAGCAAAAAAATTCTTTAAAGTCGAAAAAACCTCTGTCTTATCATGTAACAAATAAATCCAAGTGGCACGCGAATAGTCATCAACAATAGTTAAAAAATACTGTGCCCCAGAAAAAGAAAGAATCTGATAGGGACCCCATAGATCACAATGTATTAAATCGAAAATAGCAGAAGACTTAGTACTACTAATAGGAAAAGTATCACGCGTCTGTTTGGCTCGAAAACAAATGTCACAAGCTTTATGAAGATGACTACTGTCATTCCTAGAACCAATATCAGAAAGCATTGGTAAAACCTTCGAAGACGGATGACCAAGCCGTTGATGCCACAAATCAAAGGAAGAAAGACCGTGGGACACAACAGCAGCAGCAGTCGCAATATCCTGGAAAAAATAAAGCCCCTCACATTGCTCACCCGCTCCAATCAGAGTCCTCGAACTTAGGTCCTGTACAATACACAAATCACGAGTAAAGTGAGCAATATAAAAAGAATCGCGCATTAACTGAGAGACAGAAATAAGGTGGCACTGTAAACTGGGGACATAAAGAACATTGCATAACGTCAGGCTGCTGCTAAGAATGACAGAACCGGCCTTAGTGGCATAAGTACATTGGCCATTTGGTAAATGAACCGAAACTGCAACAATATCACGAGTGTCGCAGAAATAAGCAAGAGAACCGGTCATATGACGGGTGGCGCCGGAATCATACATCCACCTGTGAGAAAAAGACTTACCGGACAGCTTCTCATTGGGCGCTAATTTGGCTGAATTCAACAAATTGATTAAAGTGGTCCATTGATCTTGGTTAAGACCAGAAACCACACCGGGTTGGGAGCTCGAACCAAAACCAGCAAGCGGTTGAACCATGGTGTGAGCAGCAGCACTAGAAACCGAATCGAGTGTGCCGGTCCAACTGAACCAGATGTTGAACCGGGAAAAGGAGCAGAACCACGGCCTGAACCACGTCCCCATCCTTTGCCGGCTATCGGACGAGAAAAAGACCAATTTTCCGGGTACCCAATAAGTTGAAAGCACTCGGTGATCTTATGTCCAGTGTTGTTGCAATGGGAGCAAAGAAGGTTTCAGCGCGAACCTCAACCTTTCAGCTTGGCAGTGGTGGAAGTAGCCAAAGCCGTGACTTCACTGCCGGAAATTGTAAGATTCTGGACGCCCGCGGTGGTATGAACATAGAAGCTCATAGGAGAAACAGAATAAGCGTCACGCTGGGCAGTCGAGCGAAGACTTTCTTCCTGCACAACCAAAGCATAAGCCCGTTCTAAATTCGGAAGAGGTAAGGTGGACAGAATGTTCGAACGAACAGCAGCAAAAAGATTCGAATTGAGTCCCATGAGAAACTGATGAAGATGCTCCGTCTCTCGGTGAAGCTCCAAAACAGAAGCCATCTTAACCTGACATGGCGCACACAAATCAAAAACCGACGGCATGTCAGAATCTCCAACATCGTCCCACAGTTTTTGAAGGCGGCCATAATACGACTCAACAGAAGAGCCTTTCTGCTTACACTTAGAGAGATCGGTCTTCAATTGCTGGATTCTAGAACCAGTCACAATGGAAAATCGTTCCCGGAGATGGTCCCAAAGATCGGCAACAATTTCTTTCCGAGGTATCGTCGACCGGAGAGAGGGATCAACAACGTTGAGAAGCCAATAAGTAATCAACGATTGAATTGTCCACCAGTCGTCCAAATTCTTCTGTTTCTTTGGCTTTGGAATCGATCGATCAACAAAGCCGAATTTCTTGCGAGCACGGAGAGCCATTTGCACAGCTTTGGACCACTCGGCGTAATTGGAAGCACCCTTTAAATGAACGTGGGTGATCATATTGCCGGAGTGATCATTAGAAGTGATGTCATACGGTGAAATGGTCCGATGAGCAACAACATCTTCATCGGACGAAGAACTGGACGCGTCAGACATGGTGGCGGAAAAAAAACGATGAAAAAAAAAACCGCTCTATGATACCATGCGAAGATAATTAGGGTAAACTGAAGCCGGCATTAAACTAAGTCATCTAAAACCCTTATATACTTA